ACAAATGAGGACAACAGAAGCAATCAATTGTAGTATTAAAACAACTAAAAACAGATCCAAAACTAAAAGCTAAAACTTTATAAATACTACTTATGCACATTTTAAAAATAAAGAAATTAAATAAAAATGACAAATGCATACAAAATTTCAAAACTTAACATTTAAATGAAAAACAAAAAATAAAGCTAAAAACAATTCAAAATATTAAAAAACAAAAGGTGTAAGAGTATAATAATTATTCTAACATATCACTAAGCCAAACAACAACTACATATGTGTATGTACAACCACACACACACATATATATATATATATATAATATAAATATATATATATATATATATATATATATATTATTTCATTTTTCCATTTAGTTTGTTGAAGTATAAAAATAACTCAAATTAAATAAAACTAAAAAAAACGTAATAAAAGACCTATACAGACATAATAAATTCAGACATAATTTAACTAAAATTAAAATAAATGACAAATACAAATAATACAAATCAAATGACAGTAGTTTATCAGTAATCCTAAAAAATAACACGGCCAAACTTACATGCTAAAAAACAACAACTTACACATTAAGAAATGGTTATAAAAACTGAAACCGAAGCGAAACAAGTAATAGGAAATTTCTTGTATCAATATAGCACGAGAGTCCCGCCCCCCTTGGAGATGGTGCCCTACGCAAACTGCATACTTTGCATATAGGGAGCGTCGGTATTACAGAGATATGCCAGTCTTTATTTCTATTCTTCTAATGCATCACTTTCACCCAATTCACTTCTTATGAATAGTCTGTCTTCATTTCTATCACTGTTGCTTGCAAGGAATGAACTCCTGCAGTCAGTGGCGGCTCGTCGGGGGAGGCATAATTTTGAGGTGAAAATGGGAGGAGGACGATTTAATGTTAATAAAATTCACAGTTCATGTCTCAGAATGTGTATTTTTTGTTTGTAATTTCACAGTTGTAATACCATAACGTGAAAGCACCGCTTTTCTATCGCGAATGTGCCGAATCTGCTGATGTAATTGCAACCGCTAGGTGATATAGAAGGGGAGGGGGAGGCCAGGGGAGCGCGGAGCAGAGATCCCAGACCAATACAGTTAGTGTGCCTCCTCTATTTTAAAACCCACGAGCCGCCACTGCCTGCAGTTGACCAAATTCATTCAAGCTCTGTGCTTGTGATTTTGCCAGTTCACTGCAATTAAATTTCCTTTTATTGTCATTGCATATAATACAACGAAATTAGTTAGCAAACCTTACAATCCATCCATAACAGCACAACAGCTATAAAACTATTATGCTGTAAGTATAACACACTGTAGTACAATACAATATTAGTAAGTTTAGCAGCTAAAGGGATGTGTTGTGTATACACATTTGTATGGTGACCCATACTCAGAATTTGCGCTCTGCATTTAACCCATCCAAGTGCACACACACAGTAGTGAACACACACACACCGTGAACACACACCTGGAGCCACATTGCCATATGGGGGTTTGGTGCCTTGCTCAAGGGTCTCACCTCAGTCGTGGTATTGAAGGGGGAAGAGAGCACTGGTCATTCACTCCCCCCACCAACAATCCCTGCAGGACTTGAGACGCGAACCCACAACTTTTGGGTTACAAGTCCGAATCTAAGAGCCCCCTAAGAGCTAGGTCTCCCCACTGGAGAATCGAACCCCGGTCTTCCGTGTGACAGGTGGAGATACTGTCCACTATACTAGTTGCAATAATAGTCATTCTGAAAGTAATTCTAGGCAAGGCAAGGCAAGTTTATTTATATAGCACATTTAATACAAAATGGTAATATAATGCTAAATGGTAAACTCAATGCATTACATAAAAGGAATTAAAATAATCACACATAAAATACAGTGCAATCAGTTTGGACGTAGCACAGTGCACTCTAAAAAATGCTGGGTTGTTTCAACTAGTCCATATTTGACCCAACATTGGGTTGAAACAACCCAGCATTTTTTAGAGTGTGCTCATTCAGTAAATGCACATAGCTAAATAGATGTGTTTTGAGTCTAGATTTAAATGTGGCTAATGTTTTAGGACATCTGATCTCTTCTGGAAGCTGGTTCCAACTAATTCTAATGATATTGTTCCTCTGTGTTTCTGTTGTTATAGCTATGGTACGGATGTACCTGTTCTCCTAGAATGTGAACAATTATTAAAAACGTAGTTACTGTCCTTGGTGTGAACAGGTCTGACAATATATATTTTGTATTTATATTTAACAAATACTCTGTAACCCCCCTCAGTTAACAAGCCATACGAGGACCCATGAACCCTTCCCCCCGGATCTTAGAATTGACAAGACAGTTGACCCTGAGTGGTCAGCTAAATATCTACAGCGGATCTAAAATATTCATAATTAATCATAACTAGTTATGGTTAATTATTCATATTTCCCATGAGCTGATTCGTTACAATACTCACAGACTTTGCACAAATGACATCCCATTGCTCTGCATTTCAGCTAAAACATTATCAAATTAGATCTGGGTCTTCTTGATGAATTATTTGTGTCTGATGTAAAGTAGTGTATTATGTGATTTAATTTGTCTCAAATTAATGAAGTGTTTGGTTATTGATTGTATATTATCAGGTTCTGGGACATTGCTGATAAGGAAGGATGGATGTCTGCATTAAGATTCCTGCTGAATCTCTGTGTTGCTGCAGTAGAAACTGACAAAGATGCAGGAACAAGATTCTCGACTATGCTGTCATCTGTGTGCAGCTACAAAACCTTCCCTTTTGATTATAATGGTCATGATCAGAGTGATTTCCTGCTGGATCTTTGCTCACATGTGAAGGACTATGAGACTCAAACAGGCAGGAGTTATCTTCCAGCATTACAGTCAGTTTTCCAGTTACCTGATGTCTGGATCATAGATCTCTCACAGAGAAAGAGCTCCGTCCTCCTGGAAGTGCTGAAACTCCAGACAGAGAAGAAACCAGTAGTGCTGAGAGGATTATCAGAGGAAGAGAGTGAAGTGATGAGTTTCCTTCAGTGTCTGCAACACATCTCAAAGCTGAGGTGAGAAAATCTCTGGCAACTTACAGTTCCCCTTTTAGGGAACTCTACATTGGGGAATGCAGCCTGCATGACCGGTGTCTGAAGCACGTGTGAAACAATGCCAATCTATTGGCCCACCTGGTCCATGACATCATAGGCGGGATGCCCGGAAGTATAAAATGGCACCTGCTGAGTACGTCATCCACTTTGGTGTCTTCAGGAGCCATTTGTTTGAAGTGAGTGTGAGAGACCAAGGCAGGTGAGCGGTGTGGAAAGTGTGTGCCTCCGTTACAGAGGTTTCTGGCACTTGAGGACGCGCACAATCTATATGTCATCTGTTTTTGGTCAGGAGCTAGCACGTTCAGATTGTGAGTGCTGTCCATTGAGAAGCTCCATTCGCGTTTGTCCCTCTTCTCGAGAGATGAGTAACAAGCGTTTGCATCTCGCGGTTTGGGTCCAGCTGTTGCCAAGGCACGACGAATACTCACGGTTTGAGATGCCCTTTTTGGGGTATCGGATCCTGCGAATAGCGCTGGAGTCGAGCAGCGCCTTAGGGAATGTGTGCCTCCGTGTTTGGATTCTAACACTCGAGGGCATATTCTGCTTTCACGTTTGTCTCGGCGAAGAGCACGCACATTCAGAGTTACGCGCTCATTGTGATGAGTCATGATGTCTAAGCTCTGCTCGCGTTTGTTCCTATTCCCGAGGGATACGGAACAGAGTGTTTGTGTCTCGCGGCCCAGTTCCGCCATTGCCGCGGCACAGTTATCTCAACTCGCTGTCATTGCTTTGATCGGCGGCATCCACACACACTCTCTATACAGTTGTCCGATGCCACGGATATTGTTGGGTTGTTATGACGATGAAGTGTGAGCACAAAGTCGTTTCAGCCCTGATCCTGTGAGATCGTGGGCGGAGCTATATTCAGCTCGGCCGTGCCTCTCTAATATGCATGTTAATGTGTGTGGAGAGCCTCGCTGGGCGTGAATATATTTAATATCCTGTGGAGAGAGGCTTGCGAGTTTTCTCTCCCAGTGTTTTCAGCACCTAGAGTGTTTATGGGGAATATATTTTTGCTCTGGAATATGGCGGTCTGAGGGCAGCTATATTCTAGCCTAGATTTTAATAACTAGGTTGGGTTCCCCTTGGCACAAGTTCTCGAGTAAGTGCTGAAGTCTTTGTTTAGGAATCTGCTATTCGAGGATAGCTGTGTTCCAGCATGGAGACCACTTCCCTTTTGGGATTTTGTAGATTGTGGTCTCTGTGAACCCATTGCCTTGACTGTGCTGTCTCCCCTTCGGGGTTTTAAATAGATGGCCCATTTCCATGGCCTGGGCAATCTTCAGCCTTATCTGAAAGAACTGGTATTCAAGGATAGTTCTGTCCAGCCCTCTAGTGCTATGGCTACTGCTTACATCAGGCTTGATCTCGGACTATGATGTTTGTGTTCGCTCTTTAGTAAATCATTTACTGATGGTCTGGATCTCCCTCTTGTGAGATCTTGGTCAATAGTACGGTGCTTTGCTAGCCTACTGTGGGACTGACACGGATTGGGGACCTCCTTAATATAGCTTTCTGAGGGTGGTTATATTCCAGCCATTGTTTTTGGCAGGACGGGCTTATTTGAATACAGCTATCTGTGGCTAACTGTGTTCTACTGCAATTGCGGTGAGCCCTCTCATGGAGTGGACCCCTTTTTCCTAGTGCCTCGCTATCGCAGGATAGTTATGTGCTACCTCAGTGATCGCTCCCCTGCTTAGGGTTTTAAGTAGAGGTCTCTTGAGCCCTTACCTAGACAGTGCTGTCTCCCCTCTTTGGGTCATAAGTAGACCGCCCACATATTGTGGTCTGGGTAGTTTCAGTCGGTCCCCCTTCTGGTAGCCCTTCCAAGGTACATAGCTATCTGAGGATATCTTTATGCTAGCTCAGTGGCTGCTCCCCTTTTTAGGGTCTTTAAGTAGTGGTCTCTTTGAGCCCTTAACTAGACAGTGCTATCTCCCCTGCTAGGGTAGTAAGTATATAGCCCACTCTATGTGGTCTAGGCAGCTCCGTAGGAAGGCTATCTTGGCTATGTTATTTGGGTCCACAAGCCTTCATAAGACCTTAGGGACATAGCTATCTGAGGATAGCTGTGTTCCAGCTCAGCAGCTACTTTCTTTACCTGGGATTTAAGTAGCATCTTTTGAGCTCCTCTAGGGGCTTTCTAGTTCACTTCCTCAGTGGTCTTGTGTATCCAGGCTAGCTCTGCTCACATAGCATAGCTATCTGAGGATAGCTGTGCTCTTTAACTTGGATGGGATTTTCCCCTTGATCTATTCGGGTCCCCCCGTTTCTGCCAAGTTGCGTGAGCGGCCCGTGGCATCAGTGGCATGGTCCCTTTCTGAAGAAAGGCTTTGTTTATCGGTCGCTTCCTTGGTGCTCTCCCACCAGGTGGACAGGCATGCGCCTCGGCACGGTGTGTTTGGATTTCGTTCCTCAATGTGCCCCCTAGGGGACGCGCAGCGTTGAGTTCCCTAGAAGAGGAACGTCTCGCGTTACGCATGTAACCATGGTTCCCCGAGAGGGAATGAGTTGCTGCGCCCCCTTGCCATGCTTTCAGCCTGCCTGTCTATGTCTCCTTCAGACAGCTAAGTGGATGACGTATTCAGCAGGTGCCCTTTTATACTTCCGGGCATCCCGCCTATGACGTCATGGGCCAGGTGGGCCAATAGATTGGCGTCGTTTCACACGTACTTCACACACCGGTCATGCAGGCTACATTACCCAATGTGCCCCCTAGGGGATGCAGCTTCTTGTTCCTTTTCGGGGAACCATGGTTACATGCGTAACCCGAGACGTTATTGTGAAATATGATTTCTGCATAAGCTGATGGTCTTAATGAGTGTCTTTAGATTAGGGGCTCGGTTTTGTTTCAGTGTTAGGTATAGAGTGATGCATTCTGACCATTCACTACCATCGATCTCATTTGTGTCAACGGCTAAATCTAAGTGGTTTTTATGCAAGGTGAGAGAGCTGGCTGTGGGTCTGAATACTCCTCATATCTGTAGATGTTTGAGCACAAATTATGGGTGTGTTTATGGGGCGTCCTTGTAGATTCAACCATCAGATGCTACCAAAGTACATGTGCTAAATGATGTAGCTGACAATAACAGTTAACCGTTAACACTAGTCATGATGGTGTGTGTCAGTAGATCAGTATGAGATTATATTCACATTCTCTATTATTTAATTAAGGAGTTTTCAAAGTGTGGGATGCACTTCCCCAGAGCCAGAGCAGATCAGGAGATGTACACAGAGGGGTGAAAATAAACAAATTAATAATTTGTAATTGCATTCAATGTTCTATCATGGAAATAAATGAAGAAGCAGGTTTTTCAACAAGAAATATCATGTTTCTGCTCTTATGTGATCAGATCATTTTAAACATAAAAAAGAAGATTTAAAAAATCATGTACAGTTTATAGTCAAGGATCCAGTAAGCGAATGTATTCAAGCAGTCAGATTAAAACATCAGAGATGGTGGAGAAAACAGTGACTCACATCCAGATTTCAGTAAATTATTCATTTCAGTGTGTACTTTGCTTCAAGGCGTGAGCTCTCTTGTATTCTGTGATTGTTTCAGAGCAGACTAAACAGTTTATCATCATGCTGTGTGAAATACAGACTGAACAACGACTCAAATCATTCTGAAAGTAATTCTAATTATATTGTTCCTCTGTATTGCTGTTGTTATAGCGATGGTATGGACTTATCTGTTCGCATAGAATGAAAATGATTATTAAAAATGTAGTTACTGTCCTTGGTGTGAACAGGTCTTAAGACTTACCGGGCACATCCAAGAAAATCCCCATCTTTCTCCTTCATACCTACAGACTTTGGACAAATAACATCCCATTGTTCTGCATTTCAGCTAAAACATTATCAAATCAGATCCCTGGGTCTTCTTGTTTAAATATTTATTTGTGTCTGATGTGAAGTAGTGTATTATGTGATGCAAGTTGTCTCAAATTAATGAAGTGTTTGGTTCTTTATTGTATATTATCAGGTTTTGGTTCATTTCTTATAAAGAAACAAGGATGTCTGCATTAAGATTCCTGCTGAATCTCTGTGTTGCTGCAGTAGAAACTGACAAAGATGCAGGAACAAGATTCTCGACTCTGCTGTCATCTGTGTGCAACTACAAAACCTTCCCTTTTGATTATAATGGTCATGATCAGAGTGATTTCCTGCTGGATCTTTGCTCACATGTGAAGGACTATGAGACTCAAACAGGCAGAAGTTATCTTCCAGCATTACAGTCAGTTTTCCAGTTACCTGATGTCTGGATCATAGATCTCTCACAGAGAAAGAGCTCCGTCCTCCTGGAAGTGCTGAAGCTCCAGACAGAGAAGAAACCAGTAGTGCTGAGAGGATTATCAGAGGAAGAGAGTGAAGTGATGAGTTTCCTTCAGTGTCTGCAACACATCTCACAGCTGAGGTTGGTTTTTGTTTTGTGACATATATTGTCTTGTCTTTGTTTGAGTGTGTGGCTTTCGAGTCCTCAGGCTGTTAATTTAACTCACCTGTCCTCCCCTCATTAATCATCAATCAATCAATTTGCTTTCATTCTCGTCTTTCAGCTTCTGCTAACCAACAACCTATAGTCTGCTTACATCCTTTACACACGTGACGAACACACATACAACAACCATTCTGTTTTTCATTGTTCTTTTCAACTGACTCTCTCACAATCTCTCATCAATCGTTTGTGTCCTTCTATTTTCTGTTCTGTGTCTGATTGTCATCTAATGTGTACTTGACAAAGTTGTTGTTATAACTTTGAACATGTTTCAAGTTCTCAATGAGTCTTTTAGATTGTGCTTATACAATGCTTTTTCCAATTGTAATGGGTCATGTTAAGTTATGTAGTGATTTTTTTTAATAAAAAGTATTTGTGTTTTTCAGCTGTTCTGAGAAGTGTTTGTTAAATCTAGTTAAAGCAGTCCAGTTAAGAGAGAATCCAGAGCTGGTGACATTACTGTTTGAGGATCTTGGCTTCTCTGTAAGTCTGGAAAGACATGTACCCAGCAAAATCTGCAGGTCTGTGGGGAGTTTCTTACAATTCTCTTCTGACAGACTCAACCTCACTCTAAAACATAAAGCTGTCTCTGTCAGAGGAACACGTCTTCTCTTCAGACACCTCACAAACATAAACACACTCAGGTACAAGACAGCATTATAAATTAAATTAAAGGCACAATATGTAATTTTTTGCTGCTAGAGGGCGCGTATTCAAAACAAAACAAAGATGCAAAGGCATAGTTTGATGACGCCATGACTGAGTGGAATCATGGGAGTTGTTGTCTTCATCCCCACAGCCGATGCAATCCGATGGGACTCGGCAGAAATCATGTTCATGGATAAGCTAATGATTTATTAACGTAGTAGAATGAAGCAGGGTGAGGCTGAAAGCCGTCGAAGCGAAACGAGGCCGCTGAACGAGCGTGACACACGGCTCGAAAGCAGAGGAGCTTTTATTATGCCACAGTTGACCGCTTCCGCTCCTTCCGGTCGTGCGTATGTGGGGAAAAAAAGCAGCGCTGTTTTATCATACTAGATACGTTTGAAAGTTCTGTTATAATGCTACTCTGTGCCGTCGACACCGGTCTATTAAAACGCACAACATATTAAAACGTCTTTGGTGTTTCCACGTTTTCTACAAAGCAAAACCGGAAATCAAGGGGTTATGACATCATTGGCAGGTGACACAATGACACTATGGACACGGTCCGTGTCACTAGTTAAAATTGCTTATTTCTCTGGATTTAAACATTCTTCGAAACATTTGGGATACTGTAAGTACACAAGTCAGCAAAATATATAACACTGTTCTAGTGGTTTTTGGATATTTTAATAAAAAAATCTTAAGTTTCACTGCTAGAGGTCATTTATTCAAAACAATAATGATCCAGATGTAGTTGGATGATACAGCGACAGAGAGTGGTGTTGTGGCAAAAACAATTATTAACAAATAGCATCACAGTGTAAGAGACAAGGAATCAAATTATATTTAAGGAAAGAAGTTTATTTTCCTTAAAGAGGTATGTTCACAATGTTTCAGCAGCTACCCTGAAGCACAACAGACATCACACTGAAAACAGACAGCCTTATTATACTGTTATCACCCCCCACTTCTTACAGAGTTCCTTCTCTGTAAATTTCCACTTAACCCCGTAAACCAAACCTAGCTGTTTTCAGAAAAAACAATGGTCCTTCTAACCCCCTGGGCTTTTATTATCTTCACATCTGTGAGGTCAACAACCCCTCTGTCTTTCCTGCACTAAATAGATTTCTATCTCTTCTGGATTTTCCTTCGACGCATGTCTAATAATCTGTTAAACGTCTTCAACAGATCCGATTTTGTCACCTCAAATCGGCAAGGTTAGCAAAAATGCTCTGTAATTATGGCTTACTCAAAATCTTCCCATGAGTGCTTTCCAGCGCTCGATTGATTCTAGTTCACCTAATCAGCTGTGGCTCTTCCGTCCATCTATGAGCTAGTTTTCGGTACGAACCGACAAACACACATTGAACAGAGTGCCCTATATAGGACTCTATATAGGAGTTGCAGCTGGCGCGCTTTGATTGAGCGCCAGCTGCAAACACTAATGAATGACGTACGCACATACAACCACATGACAAGACACAGAAAGACCGTCCGGACCCATGAACCGTGACACTTCTAACCCCCTGGGCTTTTATTATCTTCACATCTGTGAGGTCAACAACCCCTCTGTCTTTCCTGCACTAAAGAGTTCAAAGGCTCTTTCTGATCATTTGTTTTTACTGTGTGTTTGTGTGCCTTCACACCAGTGAGGTCAAAGGTCTTTATTTATGACTAACCCCTATGTCTTTCCTGATTAAATTACCCGCACTAAAGACTTCAAAGGCTCTCTGTTTTACTGTGTGATGTCTTTGTTGCATTCCAGGTGACATATATATACATATTGAGAGAAACACAAGTTAAATCAAAAGGAAAAATAAAAAAATATATAAAAACCCACGCAATGTCTAAGAAAGTAAATAAGAAAGAGTAAAACATAAATTTTCCTACAACAGTGGAATCATTGGATTTGTTGTGTTCGCCTCCACGGCTGTTTTAATTTTATGCGGTTATTTTTGGCGACAGAACCCTTAGCCAATGATCATGAATAATTCTGGCACATCGTGAATGTGTAAAACAAACAGCTGTGGCTTGCTAGATGCTACCAGAGATTTGGCGCTACCACTACATTTTCCACATTTTTTCAAGAAGCATGCTGTTTCCATGGTTGTGTCCAACAACTGAAGGTGGAGAGGAAATGATGCCATTGACGTGAGACAAAAAGACACAGACCATTTCACTGGTTAAAATTGTGAATTTCTCTGGATTAAGCATAGTTGGATACATTTACCATAATGTAAGCGCACAGGTTAACAAAATATCTAGTGGTTTTTGGATATTTTATTGCAAAAATATTACGTATTGTGCCATTTAACATTTCAAATGCTAATATTTTTTGTTTAATCTTTCTAGATGGTGATTTGCATACATTAACAATGTTTTTTTTGTTGTTGTTTTTTTTCAGGCTGAGTGGTTATATGGTGGTGAGAGTAGTGCAGGCATTGAGGTTTATGAGGATTCGAGCTCCCATCACTGTTAATGAGCTCACACTTGGTCTGAATGATAAACAGCAGTCAGAGAGGAATCTGTCCAGGATCCTAAGGAGCTTGGCCATCCTTCCAAGAATATGGACTGTCCAGTGTTTGAATTTGACTGAATACAAGATGCAGTCTGTTTCTGTGTCTGTCCTACTGTGTCACCAGGGACCAGTGACTCTCAGGTCTGACTGTAGGACACATTTCAAGTGTTTGATTTTATATCTACAATAACAATATACAAATATAATGAACTCTTTGTATGTGTGTGTGTGTGTGTAGACTGTCTAAAGTGACTCTCCAGAAGCTGGTTGAATGCGTCTATGAAGCTCAGGATGAAGAACTGACTCGATGCTTCCTGCAGAAAGTGGGCGGGGATCTGACTTCCTGTTCCTTGAGCTGGGAAGAGTTTCATTATTTCCTGCAGCACAGAATTCAACAAATCACTCTGAACCTCAGAAAGAGTAACATTCAGGTCAACATCAGAGAAATGCTGCCATTCCTGAACCAGATTAAATTTAAACGGTAAACAATTAGTTTCACAAAATCTGTATGTAATATATATTGCTTTTTTGTGCATAAAAATGAAAACTTAATAGTATGATAAAAAATACAGAAATTTAATAACAATAAATATGATGTGTCTGTATAGGTTGAGCTCTGCCTTCATGCTGCGTGTAATCAGAGAGATCTATGAGTCCGGCTCTGCTAGGTTTGTGTCCAGTCTGTTGAGTTCAGTGAAGAACTACATTAACCTGCAGAGCAGAGATCTGGACTCCGTTCACTCTGCGGCCCTGCGCTTCACACTGCAGCTTCACTCAACCTGCTCTGGACCTCCATACCAGAGGAAGAGCTGCAGAGCATTCTGCCTCTCTTCACACACCTCTCCCACCTCAGGTTTCACCGCTTTCCTCTCTATCTCTATTATTTACTTTTTAGGTCTCAGGTCTGCCTGTGTGTTACAATCAGTAGTTTTCTGGGTGATGTCAAAGCCGTGTAGTAGCATTGATTTACGTATGTCTTAACTAGTTGAAAGCATACTATTTTGTTAGTAGTATTTTCATTTAAAAATGTTCATAATTAAATTATAACAATCACTAGACAATATAATTGTTTCCAAACATTTTTACTACAAAAGTACTCAAAAATGTATTATTAATGGATCTAGTGTTTGTCTGTCTCCAGTGTTGACAGGCTGCTGTTACTGATGTTACAGAATCTGTCCTGATCTAGTGTTCGTCTGTGTTCAGTGTTGACAGGCTGCTGTTACTGATGTTACAGAATCTGTCCTGATCTAGTGTTTGTCTGTGTCCAGTGTTGACAGGCTGCTGTTGCTGATGTTACAGAATCTGTCCTGATCTAGTGTTCATCTGTGTTCAGTGTTGACAGGCTGCTGTTACTGATGTTACAGAATCTGTCCTGATCTAGTGTTCGTCTGTGTTCAGTGTTGACAGGCTGCTGTTACTGATGTTACAGAATCTGTCCTGATCTAGTGTCGGTCTGTGTTCAGTGTTGACAAGCTGCTGTTGCTGAAGATGCTTCACTGCTGCAGTGTCTCTGATGTCCAGCAGGAGGCAGCAGCTGTTCTGCTCTCAATCCTGCAGCACAAGCTGGACTTCTCCTGCCGCTCTGCTCTGGATCTGGCAACAAACACAGACTCAGAGCCTCTACATCTGACCACTGACGACTGCCGTGTGATGTCCAGAGTCATTCAGAGAGCTCAATCAGACACAAAGACACGGCTGATTCTGCAGGACTGTGAGATTCATTCAGCTGGAATGGATCAGCTGTTCCCAGTGTTACATTCTGTTCAGCTCTGGTGAGAAACATCAACAGATCACATTCACACACAGATCCAATATAAAAGCATTCAGTATATATAACGCATTTCTTGCTGTCTGTCTTTCAGCTGTGATAAACCTCTGCTGCTTCAGTTTCTGGCTCATGTGAGGCCTGAGGAAGCTCAGTCTCTCTCTGGAGCTCTGGGTGAAGAGCTGGATCTCAGTCAGACTCAGCTGGATCTGCAGGTCTGTAGAGGTCTGGAGCTGATTCTGGAATATTCTGAAGGACTGACAGAACTGGATCTGAGTCAGTGCCATCTCACCGATCACAGTCTGGATCTGCTGCTCCCAAACCTCCACAAAGCTCAAAACATTGAGTGAGTGACTGAAGAAACTCAAAGTCTGTGTTCAGTGTTGACAGGCTGCTGTTACTGATGTTACAGAATCTGTCCTGATCTAGTGTTTGTCTGTGTCCAGTGTTGACAGGCTGCTGTTGCTGATGTTACAGAATCTGTCCTGATCTAGTGTTCATCTGTGTTCAGGGTTGACAGGCTGCTGTTACTGATGTTACAGAATCTGTCCTGATCTAGTGTTCGTCTGTGTTCAGTGTTGACAGGCTGCTGTTACTGATGTTACAGAATCTGTCCTGATCTAGTGTCGGTCTGTGTTCAGTGTTGACAAGCTGCTGTTGCTGAAGATGCTTCACTGCTGCAGTGTCTCTGATGTCCAGCAGGAGGCAGCAGCTGTTCTGCTCTCAATCCTGCAGCACAAGCTGGACTTCTCCTGCCGCTCTGCTCTGGATCTGGCAACAAACACAGACTCAGAGCCTCTACATCTGACCACTGACGACTGCCGTGTGATGTCCAGAGTCATTCAGAGAGCTCACTCCGACACAAAGACTCGACTGATTCTGCAGGACTGTGAGATTCATACAGCTGGAATGGATCAGCTGTTCCCAGTGTTACATTCTGTTCAGCTCCGGTGAGAAACATCAACAGATCACATTCACACACAGATCCAATATAAAAGCATTCAGTATATATAACGCATTTCTTGCTGTCTGTCTTTCAGCTGTGATAAACCTCTGCTGCTTCAGTTTCTGGCTCATGTGAGGCCTGAGGAAGCTCAGTGTCTCTCTAGAGCTCTGGGTGAAGAGTTGGATCTCAGTCAGACTCAGCTGGATCTGCAGGTCTGTAGAGGTCTGGAGCTGATTCTGGAATATTCTGAAGGACTGACAGAACTAGATCTGAGTCACTGCCGTCTCACAGATAACAGCCTGGATCTGCTGCTCCCAAACCTCCACAAAGTGCAAAACATTGAGTGAGTGACTGAAGAAACTCAAAGTGTACATTTATCAAGTATAATGTGATAGTTCTTACATTCCCGATTTGTTTGATCTCAGTTTCAGTGGCAATAGTATAACTGACGCTGGGGCTCAGGAAATCCACAGGATCGTCACTCGCAACTGTAACATAAAGACAGTAAGGTGTGTGTCTGAGTGTCACAATGTAGCCCACAGTTATTTAAACTTATTAAAACTGCAAAATATGGGTTAAAGGTTTTTTTTTTCTTTCTCTCAAATTAAAGAACACATTGCTGCCACTTTTCATTCATTCATTGTATCACACCAGTCATCCATCATAAAAGAAATCCATAGGGACAATTTATACTTGTCAACAAAATTTAAGCAGAAGCTTTTAGATCAAAAGCAGTCATGGAAAAAAAAATTTGTCAAGTGTGTTAAAATTGTAACTGATAGTTTATATTGTCATGCTCAACAGAGTGAAAATGTATTAATTTATCAGATGCTAAGCGACTTACAGATGAGGAATACTGGCAACAGGTTGTAGCTAATAACAGTGTGTTTATGTATCTCTGTAGGCTCTTCAACAACAGAATTGAATCCCGAGAGCTCTTCATCACTGACCCACGATTTGAGATCCAGTGATGCCAGTAAACTCTCTCTGGAATCAACAAACGGGTGAAATAATTAATGCAGATCTAGAGAGATGAGATTAATGATAAGGTAACAGGTGTAAAAACATCCCAGAGATGAATCAAGCCACCAGATCATAAACCACATTCATGTTTTATCATCACCTTCAATCATAGTCAACAGTTGCATGAACTGATTTTTTCATACCACAGCTATGCTGATGACATTCAACTCTACCTCTCATTCCATCCTGATGATCCGACGATAGCTGCTCACATCTCAGCTTGTCTAATGCTGGGTACACACTAAAATATTAAAAAAATATTATAAGATCTTCAAAATGTGAGAGACCACAAACATGAGGACAAAAAGTCCTAGATTTAACCATTTTGCTCCTATAGTGTTTGGTGTGCCGCGATGTTCCCCCACACATCAGGATTTCTGATCGTAAAATTACGATTCGCGATCGGGGCGCCTCCAATGTTCTTCCGAGCAGATTCAGTCACCCTTAACACACCTCACACCACAGGAAAATCTGATAAAATAATCTTTAGAACCACCAAGATAATCGGGACATAACCTAGGATTGTCGGAAGGGGAGAAATCGGCCCCAAATCAGCCCCATTATCTTGTGGTGTGTACCCAGCATTAGAGTTGGTTTTCCAGTTCATTGTAAACATACTGTGGGTTATGCTCTTAAATCTTGATTACAGACTATTTTATGATTTAATTAGTTTTATTTTCTCTTTTAATTATTCTGCTTTGCTGTGTTTACTTTAGAGTAAAACATTTTGTACAAAATGGTAGGCTACACATGAATGATGCGATCATGAGATGTTATCTGTTCTGACACAGACAGGATGACTATTGTCATCTGAACATCCTGGCTTCTATGGCATTTGCCTGAATAGAACAGTCCTTTGCATATTTCAAAACATATATGCTCTATTGAGTAGCAATACCACATGAGTTATTGGTCAGATTTTTCTCTTTCCACATATTAACATAGGCCTATTACATTTTACTGTTAGTTTTTACTTACTTTTTTTGTGTCTTACGTACAGACTAATGTAGCATAGTTTACTGAGGTTGTTTTCTATCTTTTTTTTTGTCAGACTGTGAGCTGTTTGTTTTTGAGATACTCCAGGATGAGAATCTCAGTAATCCTGCTGTCTGTGTTCAGTGTTGACAGGCTGCTGTTACTGATGTTACAGAATCTGTCCTGATCTAGTGTCGGTCTGTGTTCAGTGTTGACAAGCTGCTGTTGCTGAAGATGCTTCACTGCTGCAGTGTCTCTGATGTCCAGCAGGAGGCAGCAGCTGTTCTGCTCTCAATCCTGCAGCACAAGCTGGACTTCTCCTGCCGCTCTGCTCTGGATCTGGCAACAAACACAGACTCAGAGCCTCTACATCTGACCACTGACGACTGCCGTGTGATGTCCAGAGTCATTCAGAGAGCTCAATCAGACACAAAGACACGGCTGATTCTGCAGGACTGTGAGATTCATTCAGCTGGAATGGATCAGCTGTTCCCAGTGTTACATTCTGTTCAGCTCTGGTGAGAAACATCAACCGATCACATTCACACACAGATCCAATATAAATGTATTCAGTATAGGGGTCGACCGATATGTGTTCTTCAGGGCCGATGCTGATACCGATACCGATTGTTACAGATCAAGTAGACCGATAATCGATATTTTGAACCTATATATATATATATCTATCTATATATATCTATCTATATATATCAATAAATATGCAAAAGTGAATTTTTCCTCTTATTTTACATATAAAGATAGGTCCACTTCTGATATATATATATATATATCTATATTATAGATATATATATATATCTATATATCTATATATATCTATCTATATATATATATATATATATATATATATATATATATATGTGTGTGTGTGGTGTACAAATTTAAATTAATGTCAAAATTAAGAATAACAAGGGCTCTGACTTTCCTGGTGTTGGTTGAGTGTAGTAATCCCACACTGCACGTTTTACTCTTGTCTTCCTCTGTGCATCCAGCATAAAATATTTACAAAAATGTGAGGGGTGTACTCACTTCTGTGAGATACTGTATATAATAAGTGTAAATAATTAAATTGTCTTCATTGCTATATTGTAGAAGTTGTTAAGAACACTGCAACTATTTTCATGAAACTATAACAATAATAGCCTTTTACAGGCAGACTTAGTTCAATAGCCTATTGAAATGTCTTGGCCTATGTGACACTAGAAATTTCAGTTAGTTTTAATTTACAGTACAGTGCAAATGAAGGCATAAATCAGTTTAATTTATCTTTTAATCAAATGAGAGTTAAACTCTTTCTTTTTTTTTGGCAAAGGGTTTACTATTAAAATTAAAACATAGAAGAAATAGCGTATTGTGTGACTATTCTTTTAAACAAAAGTTGTAATAATTGTTGTAGTAGTATTATGCATATCATACTGCACCACAGTAATATATTTCCGATAATTTCTTTAAGCTAAACCAAACTTACATTTTGACGGGTTGCCATGAGGAACTTTTAAGTTTCTGTAGCCTATGTAAGTGTTTCCCATACATTGATTTATTTGTGGCGCCCGCCACAAATAGATTTTTCCAAAAGGCTTTGACTTCGTTGAATAAACATAAGCTCTGCACGTTTCAAAATTGAAACCCAGTGCGGGTATTTTTATATCACTGTATTTCTGAAGGAACCCGACTGTCTTCAGAAAATTTTGGATGTCATTTTCATTTCATCTAGCATGTAATATTTGATAAAGCAGCATTTGTGAGTGGAACGCTGCTTTGGGTACTGCATTCAGAAGAAGGGGAAACCTTGATCTCTACCACTCTAACAGCGCCTTCTGCTGGCAGAGAATGAATTTGCATATACATGCCGCCACAAGTCTGTGGGAAACACTGCGATAGTTTTACA